GGAAAACTCTGCAGTGTCATCATTGGAGTTGAGCAGCCTGAGGGAGATAACAGTGCGGATAGTGCATCCCGGGGGGCGGGAAGAGCTGTTCCAGGATGTAATCTCTGCATCAAATGTTCTCGAGAGGTATCCCGGGATGGTTGTTGCGAAACCAGGAATCTTCAAACACCCCAATGAGTCTGTCCTGGCTGCAGATGACAGGCTGCTACCTGGACAGAAGTATTACATCATACCTTCCTCGACGGTGGAGAAGTTAAAGCGCAGGCATTCTAGGAGAGTTGCCAGGGCCAAAAGGGCTGCTGCCCGGGCTAAAAGAGCTGCTGAGAGTGGCGGCAATGAGGCTAAAAGAAGCGGTGTAGAGAGCGGTGAGGAGGCGAGTTTGAGTGTGGAAGAAGTGACAGATGTTAGTGATGAGGACTCTTTCAGCTCTGCTAAGGACTACTATTTCTCCAGGGAGGAGTGGCCGGAGTTCGTGTTGAAGAGGACGAAGAAGAAGAAGTTTGTGCCTCCGATACAGACGCCAAGGATGTGGAAGGAAGTGGGGTGGGAGCCAAGCCTCAATTCAATACAGGAGGTTTCTCCTTAATTGTGCTGAACTATCCTAGGATGTTTTTTATGACCTGGTATACTTCTGTCTGGTGGTTTAATTGCAGATTTCTTTCGAGTTGGAGAACACTTGTTCAAGATTCTTTGTTGTTTTTCATGAAATTAAGGATTGAATTTGGAACTTGTCATAATAATAAGTCTAAAAGTCCTTGGCATTCAAGATTCATTTTGATCTGCCTGCACAAGAGGCCTGTTATTTTTCTGTCATTTGAGTGACAAGAAGAAATTGTTGTGTTTTGGTAACTTTTAATTTACTGTACTATGAGTGAGTATTTGATATTATGAAGGAAGATTTCTTGATGATTTGGTAGCATATATACTTATAGGCTCTGCGACTTAAACTAAGAAGGCTAATAGTCATACGAGAGGGGTTTGAACGCCTGACCTCTCTTAAAGGAGAGGAATGCATGGTCACTCACGTCAATCAAGCTGGTTAGCATTGTGCAAAGTGTTTAGAGTTTAGTGCAGTGAGCACTCAGTCCCCAACTATTTGGCAACTGTCTAGTCTATAATTGCAAACCCATGGGCTGCGTTTGGACAACAAGTTTTCCTTGGCCTACTTTTCTACTCCTTGAGTTAGGCCTATTGGGCTGACCACAATGGATCCAAAGGTATCACCCAAACAGAGTCTATCAACATTGACAATATACTTGGTTACTTAGCAGTGAAAATGATGCAACATAACATCATCGTCTTGTTTGTTTCAAACTATGTATGAAGCCACGTTATTAGTATAGAAACTCTTCCAAGCTAAGCCATCCACTTGTCGCCGGTTTGGTAGAAAAATCAGAGCATTCATGCATTAAGAATATTTGAACCATCAAGAGAAGACCTTATTATCTTGTTTACAGTTTACTTGTTTATTTGGTTTATGTAATTTGACTACCGACCACGGCTATATGTTGAAAAATAAAATTATGTGTTTTAAAAATTTGTTGAGTGTGTTGAATATATAATATATAAACATAAATATGTCGTTTAAATATTAATTTATAGATTTTTAGTTAAGATTGAGCACATGTTCCAATTTGGTATCATAGTTAATTTCATGCCAAAGGCTATGGGTTCAAACCTCCGCTTCACGCTTTCACCCCATGAAAAAGAGACTAAATTTCATGTGTTGCCAAAATTATTTAGAAAATTATTTAGAGGCAAACAATTTACTTGGATTGCCGATCGTTTTGGATCTAATTCCACAAATTTGGTTTGTTGACTGAATTGATTTTTTATTTTTTATTTTTTTTAGTTGAGTGACTGAATTATATTTTTGTGTGTAGTATAGTGGCTAATTTGACCTTATTCCTTTTATGTAGTGATTTGTGGTGTATTCTTAAAATATTTAATCCTTTCAGTATATTTTTTTAAGAGAGAGAAATGGAGTAGATTTTAGGTTTTTTTTTTTTTTTTAAATCACTTTTTTTTTTTTTTGGGTGTTATAGGAAAAATGGTTATGATTGGGAATAGAATTCAATTGTGACACGGAGAAAAACAGCTCAAGAAGAAGATGAATTAATGATGTTAGGCATGGGTCATAATCGATAAGAAAGTGAAGGGAGTTTAATTTTTTTTTCATTTTTCAGAGAAGATTTTACTTTTCGTTCATAAGTATTATGGTATTGTTATATTTAATTTGATTTGAGAATGTGCATTGAATAACTGATGCTTCTGTGTAATAGTCCACAAATTACACAAAAGATAAAATCGATCTAAAAAGACCCTATGCAATAAGATCGAGAGTACATGTTACCAATAATAGAACAACCTTATACTATGAGAATTATACTCCACATACTCATCCCCTTTCTAGACTATCACATTTAATTTTGGAATTTTAGTTTGGTCCCATTTAGTGTCACATTTGGTCATATATTACAATTTAAATTAACTCTAATTTTAACAATTTGCAATCTTAGGATCTATCCTCTATCCTCTTATAGTTTTATTGCTTAAAAATGTTAATAAATGATATAATAAACAATAATTTAATAAGAAGTGTTATAGTTATTTTGTTTATTATGAGTTTTTTTTTCTTCAGTAAGAATAATTATCAAATTATGAAATTGTCCCACAAATCAAAGTAAGTTGAATAAAAAGTGTAAAAATAGATCAAATGTAGTAATGTCAACGAATTCATCGGATAAAATGTGATGAAACTAAAATTTTAAAACTAAATGTAACAGTGATATGATACACTAGTTATAGGAATGTATTTATTGGATCTAAGACAATATAATCCAACACAGACAGTTATTTACCTCTCTTATGTGATCTGTAAATATTTATAATAAGAACAAAATTTATCGAGTATTATAAATCATAGATAGTGACTAAAAATGTCCTCCCTCGCAACAAAAGAAATTAATTTATTACATAATTTGAACAAAAGACATGTCATAAGTTGTTGAATGTAGGCAAGAGATTTCATAAGACAAGCCAACTAAATCCAAAAAAAGAGTCAATAACAATCATGACCACAATCTTAATTAACACCCCAGGCCATACTCATGTTCTGACAAATGTTATTCAATTCATGGTCCACACGAACGCCCTAATTTCCATATTATTTTCAAATTTTATTTTACTTACTACAAAATAGGATTTCATACAGAAAACATCTTCAAATAATGATTGTGAATTTTTTCACAAATCAAAAAGATTAAACTTTTAATTTTTTTATAAAACATATTCATGGCCTTAACCGATTGATCCATCACAGGTTTGTACTTCATAGCTCCAATGATTTACTTTATGATAAACGTTATATATTTATTGTTTATTGTTAGGTTATTTCACTTAACAATTTAGGACGAAAATAATCTATGAATTAGCTTTTGTTAAGGACTATCATGTCAGTAATATAAGTTTAGATGAACCACCTACTTAATATATTCATATAATCCAGTCATCTTTTTTTTTTTTTTTTTTTCCTAAAAAAATAAATGAAATATAACTAATTTACTAATACAACATGTGAATGCATGTGAGAAGTTTCAGCAAATAGCTTAGCTTGCTTGTACCACAGGTCTCTTATACTCAATCAAGGACCACTCGAATGCTCAATCCATCTCTTTGTATGTGCACCATGTGTATTATAAATTTCAAAAATCATCGTTCATTGATTTCCAATATGATCCAAAATAATGTCGAAAAAAGAATATAATACTTTTGATGTAAAAAAAAAAAAAAAAAAAAAAAAAAAAAAAAAAGAGGAAGAAAATAGACAAGAGGATAACATGCATGCATACAACCTTGATATATATCCATTCACTCCCAAAATTCAATTCTCTACTAACCTAACGGGAGAGGGGGAGGGGTGGGGGTGGGGGTGGATTGTTTCAAGGACCACAATAGGAGAATATATATAATACAATGTACTATGGTCCACTCATATTTATTATTTTTTTTCAAAGTTTATCTATATCTAACACCGTATATATAATTTCCGATTCATTAAAATATTAACTACATATATTATATTTAATTTCATATAATCTACTATATTGTTGAGTCATAGTCTATTGTATTGTATTACATTTTATATAATCAATTGTTGAATTCATGACACAGAATTATCTTAGTACAATTTATCTCTCCTATATAATTTGTGAACTCTTACGTATAATTTGGTTTACTTACTGTACAAATTTGAGTAGTAACTATGATTTTCTTCTTTGAAATAATAATTATGATTTTGGAAGTTAAGATGTTGTAAATATTAACCGTCCTCACGTACTTCGATTTGATATAGACTTGTAAGAATAGAATTTTTTTTTTTTTTAAAGTAAGAAATTGAATACGTTAAAAAAAAAAAAAGTATGAAATTCTTCTTAAAAGTTTGAAAGTGAAGAAAAAAAAGGTCTGCTGCATATATAAAGAGCAACTGAGATTTGTTAGGAGTAAGAATGGAATCTTCTTTATTGACAGAAGATGTGAACTCCAACGTAGCCAGGTCTTGAGAATGTTTGAAAATCAAATCTAATCCAACTATCAGTTTAAATTTTTAATTGGGAAATACATATATCAATTTGATATTATAGTCAATTCTGTCATATGATAAAAAAATATAAACATAAAATATACAATTTAAATTTTTAATTAAAATAAAATACATACTACAATTTATGAATCATAATTCTCAAAGTTTATCTTGTACACATATTCGGATACTAGCAATATAAAAGTCTCACTGAAATTTAGAATTGAATCTGATTTAATATTTGCAGAGATTTTAAACTCAAGGGACCCACAAGAATGGTCAGCTTTGCTGACAAGCTAGTGGGTCCCAATTGTAATTCGCAGTCCATACTGCCCCGAAAAAAAAAAAAAAAAAAAAAAAAATCCGACCCACTTGAATCTGCGAGACCCAATTTTACATTTTTACGACTATAAATATGCTGAAGCGAACAATACACAGGCTTGAAGAAGCCAGTAAAGAAAAGAGAATCTTCAAAGCCTTTCTTCTTTTCTTCTTCTTCTTCACTGCATATAGTTTTACCATTCTCCTTTGTATCTCCGAAGAGCGAGGAGACGGACATGGCTGGACCTTCTTCTACAAAATCCATCAAATTCCTCTGTAGCTACGGCGGCAAGATTCTCCCACGTCACCCTGACGGCAAGCTCCGTTACTATGGCGGCGAGACCCGGGTCCTGTCCGTTGATCGCTCCATCTCTTTTTCCAGTAAGTTCTTCATTTGGTTCTGTTTCCTTTCATGCTTTGAAATTGGGACATTTTTGTGGAATTTCTTGGTGTATATGTAATGTTGTGAATTAAATTAATTAGGGTCTGGTTCGTAAATTCTGGTGTTTAGTTGTGCCCGTCATGTGTTTGTATAAATTCCTCACACAAGATACATTGTTGTAGTTCAAAAAAACTCATAAGTGAATGGTTTTGTGTTGATGTGGTGTGATTACAGAGCTGCTGGTGAAGCTCGGGGAAATGTATGGAGCATCGGTGAGTCTAAGGTGTCAGCTCCCAGCTGAAGACTTGGACGCGTTGGTGTCCATAACTTCCGATGAGGATCTCGCCAATCTCATCGAGGAATATGATCGCTGCGGGTCCATCAAGATTAGAGCTTTCCTTTCGCCGCCGAAATCCACCAAAAAGGGCTCTCCTCCTCCGCTCTCAACTGCTTCTTCCTCTACTAGCAATAGCTCTATGTCACCAAGATTACCCTGCACTGCTCCAAGATTCTTAGCATCGTCTCGTGGTGGGAAGGGCATCCATCAGATGTCGAAGCTCTCAGTGATGTCTCCGAGTTATGAGAAACGTGGTGGAAGACCTCCTCAGTGTGCCCACCACCTTGGTGCTGGAAACACTGGCCATATTTACTTGATCCACCATGGAAATTACTGGCAGTAATGGAAGCTGGAACTTAAGAAAAAGAAGGCAAACTTTTATTGAACATATATAAGGACTATGGTCTATGGAGTACTAAATATGAAATTGATATACTACAGAACATATCCAAGGAACCTGCAAAAGCATAAGAGTAGAACATATGTACTCCATATGATATAAGAAGTGTTTTGGGATTGGTGTTTTTTGTTAATCCATCCTTGGCAATTTATAGTCAAGTTTAGTTTTGGGACCTTAGAAATATGATAGTGACTGGTGAGTAGTTGTTCAGTCACCCTTGCAAGTCTCTTGTTTCCTTTTCTTGCAAGCTAATTGTATATAACCGATAATTTTCCATTCATTTTATGCTATTATAGCTAAAGCATTATCATCAATCATTTGGAGCTGTTGTAAATTTGGCATGTTCCTTTGTCATCTTTGATATGTTCTACCTTGATTATCTTTTAGGAACTCTCATTTTCAGTGTGATTCTACTATTCTTTGACTGGTGCATGCTTCACACTCAAATTTTTAATCCTTTGCTGATCTCGTTCCTTTTCTAGTTTTCTCAGTGGGTCACTCTTGACCTGTTAATCTCTTCTCTTATCCTTACAACTAAGCATAACTGAGTCTTGCTTGTGTGTATGTAAATCTGTTTCTCTCTTTGCACCACAGTGTTATGGATTAACCATTTCCATTTCTTGCTTAAGTTGTTCGTGAATTGCAGGCTGCAGCTTGGTTACAATGATTCTGAGTGATGTCAAGTTGAAGAAAGAAGGCAGGTGAGTAAGTGAAAGGTATAAAAGATTGTCAATTGAGTTTATATTCTCTGCTCAAACAAAAGTTCCCAACTTCACTCCCTATTTTGTCTTTGCCATAGCTAATAGATTAATGATGTAATGATATTTGTTGTTTTTGACACATGAGGTCTGAAAGAATCCCTCACTCTTGAACTTACTGTATTTTCATTTATGGTCAGGATCTTTAAGTTGAAGATTGGGTTCAAGATGGGAGCTACTCCATTCGAGATATGAGCTACTTAAGACTGGGTTCTTGAACTGTCTATTGGACTTCTTGATTTGAGCTGATCAGCTATGAACAACTTAATCTGTTTTGATCTTTGTCAGTTAGAGGTTAGAAGACGAGCTTCAACAGGTTTTTTCATAAATCAAATAACGGGTTCAAGCTATTTTCAAAACCCAACAAATAATAAAACGAAAATGGAATAATAAATCATTAAATTGGGCATGGCCGTAGCAAGAGATGATTTTTAAAATATATTTTCCCCTTTCATTGTTAAAGGGAAACCAAGTTGTGTCAGCAGTGGAGCCATGACAGGCAGCAGCCAATGAATTTGTGGATGAGGGAATCGATTGTTTCTTGTGATGATCGGAAACTCTCAAAAGAATTGTTCTGTATTTTGCTTTTCCTTAAAAACTCTCATATACTTATATTACAATTACGATTTTAATAGATGAGATTACTAGTCTAAGTGGCAATGGAATATTATTAAAGATTAACATGGGCATTGAAAACATATGGGAAAAACTGAGAAAAAAACAAAAGAGAGTAGCAGTACATATGCCATTAATGCATAGAATAAGACGACAGGGACAAAAAGGATTAACAAACGTTATCCGTAGAAGATAATGGTAACCCGGCATAAGATTATCCCTAACTCGCAATCCACTGCGATATTCCATCGTCACATCTCATCTCCTTTGTTTGTTTGTTTATTGATAAACCGCCCCCAAACTAAAAGAGGAATACGTCAAGTAATCCACATCACGTGTCCCTACTCCACCGTGCATGATCATGATCCGACGTGGATTACCCAATTCCCAGACAATTTCCTACCCACATACATGCATATTCGTACCATATGTTTGATTCACAAAATTTGAAAATTATAGAAGAAATTGTTTTGGGTTTTTGGGACATGTGTTACGATTTTATTAGAGTAATAAAAAATTTTGGTTTATTTTCTCTCTTTTTTCTAACCAATTAAAAATATCTCGCCCCGTGCCCATTGATAGTACATCTCCTATTTTCTCATATTTTCTCTCTCTACCATATTGCCAAAAACTTAACAAAAATCACTGCCTGCATGGACAGCTCAGTTTGTCACATAGGTAAAATTTAGGAACAATGATAGGGATCGAGTATCACCAGCGGTAGTGCGGGAGCAACCTCTCGGACCGGAGTTTGAGATTCAACATTTTGGAACAAAACTTAACAAAAATCACTATTATAGTTGCTCTAATTTTACCCCATTAAATGTATTTAAGTGGGGGCCAAATAGCAGGAATAACATTTGCAAACAACAGCTAAGCCTGATTGATATGGCAAAATTAAATTATAGATAATCATGGTAGCTGGTCATTCAATTAACGCATTAAATGACTTCTTTATCAGTGTCATAAACCTTGGCCTTGCCCTCTAAATATTTCGGCCCTGTTTGGTAAAAAATTGGCTTATAGGCTAATTTTGGCTTATTTGATCACTATTAATTGTTTTATTTAGTTAAAATATCAATATAAATGTTTGGTTAATTAGCTTTTTGCAACTCCAAAAGGCTAAAATTCAAAAGGCTACTCCAAGCAACTTTTTCAATTAGCTTTTGAGAAAAGAAATTACACCAAACAGCTATCAGCTAACAGCTAATTTACCAAACACTTTTTTACAATCAGCTAATGTTATCAACTATTTATACACTCTAATTAATAGAATCAGCTAACAGCTATCGGCTAATAGCCATTTTACCAAACAGGGCCTTCATCGTTTAGTTGATGAAAATGCCAATTCGGCAATTCCTTTTCCAAAGGGAAGTGCAATGCCGCATTGAGTAGTATCTGAACAAATTTTTAAGGGGATAAAAGCACCCTTCTTTGGCTGAAAAGAAGATTTGAATTTAATTTTTTTTTTTAAAAAAAAAAGAGAGAAAAAACAGACAAATAAATTATAAATAAACCAATTTTTTTTAAAACAAAAACAGCCAGAAAACATGTCACATTAATAGAAAAATATATACAATTGTCACACAATGATCTTTATGTCGTTTAATCAATCAAAACATGTCACGTTAACAAGTAGTAAAAAGTAAAAATCTATATACTATCATTATATTAAATTTATATTAGTCTCAATCAACTATATCACCGTATGAATTACTCCTTAAAATCTATATCAATTTCGGCCAAATAGCACCAATAATATTTTTCAAACAACGACAACTAAATGCCTCTAATGTGTATTTTCAAAAAAAAAATAAAAAAAAATGCCTCTAATGTGTCTGCTAAATATTAGCCATCCAATCAACGCATTAACTAACTTTGTATGAACATGATAAATCCTCCGATCCCTCTAAATATTTCATCATTTAGTGCTTGTCAATATGGCCGAATTGAATGATCTGAAAATGCCAATTTGACAATTCCTTTTCCAATTCGCAATGCCGCGTTGAGAAGGGTCTGAACAAAAATTAAAAGAAAATTTGTATTAAAAATAAAAGAAAAAAGAGACAATTAAATTGCTATACACCATCTAGTGAGAACAAATAAGAAGAAGGAGGCTACCTCTTTTAGTTGACAGAATCTGTTTAATTTAACATTTTTAGTTTGGTAAAAATAAGAAGAATGAGGCTATATTAGAATTTTAATTTGGCATTGTACAATTAGAAGAGCTCAAAGTACAATCTTTTAAAGCCTATTGGTATATCGACATTTTTTTTATTCCCGTTAAGAGTCTAACAATATTGGCTCTTATTAAAATTGTAGATATATATATATATATATATTGTCAATGTTGATAGACTCTGTTTGGGTGATACCTTTGTATTCCGTAGTCACGTTTTTTCTTAATTGCATTATTATAATATTAGATACAAGTTATAATAATTAAGGTAATTTATTATATGGTGCAACACTTCCATTCAGTCCTTCATTAATTAAGGTAAGAAGTGAAATTAAGAAAGACATACAATTACCATATCGATAACATATGGTTATTTAAAAGTCATTAGTCCTCCCATTGCTTAACATTCATTTCTCATACACCATTTAGAAAGAATTGAGTAGAAGTGAGGGAAACTCAAACTCATACTGATATTCTGTCGTAGCAGCCCGTGACTACTCAACTTTCATCAATCCGAAGCTATGCATGGAGGTTAGTATATTATTACGATCCTGTTTATCGCGTATTTGTGTTGAATTTATATGCTTACAATTGATATCAAAAGCTTGATTTATCTCTGTCTAGCCTTCAAACAAGTGTTTTGATTGCATACATTGGATTTGTAGATTCAGATAATGAGTCGTGTCTCAAATTTAGATTCCCCACCTATGAGGAATTCATTAATCGCAAGGAAAAAGATGAGGTCCGCGAGTTTGTTGATTCTGAGGTATTGCTAACTTGTTCAAGTTCTACTAAATATGAATTCCTGTCTCAAAAGGGTTTTAGTGAGGAACCCTTAGAAATTCAAAGCACAGTTGGTGATGTGTTTTTGTGGAGGAACAAGAAGATAGAATCTGGTGGAGCTATTGCTGTGTGGGTTGTGTTTGAATTGCTGGATTACCACCTACTAACACTAGTCTGCCATGTTTTGATAATTGTTCTTGCGATCTCGTTCTTGTGGTCCACTGCATCATCATCCTTCATCATCCCAGAAGTTCACATTTGAGAATTGAAATAAACTGCGGTTTGGTTTTGCTACGAGAAATTGCATCTGGAAGAGATGTCAAGATGTTTGTTGTTGTAATTGCTGGTCTATGGGTCCTTTCAATTGTTGGCAGTTGGTGCAATTTTTTGACGTTCTTTTACATAATATTTGTACTACTGCATACTGTTCTAGTCATTTACGACAAGTATGAAGACAAAATTGATCCAATTGCCGAGAAAGCAATGGTGGAGATCAAGAAGCAATATGCAAAAGTTTTGAGTAAAATTCTTGGAGGGCCATTGAAGGACAAGAAGAGGGCGTGAGCAGAGAGGTATGCAATGGCTGTGGGCTTTGAAACTGTGTTGGAAGTTTATTGTATTCGTGTATGATTCCATGAATTGTTTTTGGGTTCTTGATATGGATGGAAATGAAAGATTGCAGAATTAGCTTCAGCGTTTGTACTAGTGCCGTTAGTTTCATAATACACATACACTCTGTCACGTCAACTCTCCACACAACTTAACAAAACGCAAAGTGCACATTGCTATGTGCGCCGTGGTGCACGATATAATGATGTGGTGTTTTGCCAACATACAAAAAAAAAAAAAAGTTAGGCCCAATAACTCGCATATAACCCCCCTCCCCCACAAAATGTTGTCTGTGTTTCAAGTTAAACATTTATTTTAATAATCTTATTTTTTTAAAAAACTATATCATGAACCCTTTGAATCCAAATTCTTAATGTTTGTAGTAGAAGTTAAGTGAGTTTTCTGATCTAGACGAATGCCTCAGAGGCAAAAATGATAGACTGTATCTCATAGTTTTACTCTGCACTTAAAGTAATATCTATTATTATATATGAGCGGTATCCGATTTACACCCTCCATAGTCGTTGCGGGTTTACCTCATCACAAAATAATCCTTTATATAATAAAGCTATATGGTTTGGAAAATAATTAATGTTACAATTAATGTCACAACATCTTTTATTATAAAAATAAAATAGCTATACATTATATAATCATATAAAAAATATACTTTTGAAAAATAAAATAGCTATATATTATATAATCATATAAAAAATGTGTTCAATTAGAGTTTAAATTTACACATACAAAATTTGAAATTTGCTTTCCAAATGTAATTATCTTAGTTATTATTCATACTAGTATTTGCCCCGTGCGATGCACGGATAAAAATTTATAAGTATTGTTGTAATGTTATGATACATAGTAGAATTTATTTTATTAAAAATGTAAGTTTAGTTATACATTGTAATATTTAAATGTTAAAGACAATATATGACAAAAAGTGCATTCATATTGCTAACCTCATTTGCAATAATGATCTTACAAAGTTAAACGGGACAGAGAAAGACCCGGACCACCTCCTGGTTTACACACACAAAAAAAAATAATGATCTTACAAATCTATTAATATGCATTCACAGTTAGGCGGAAAAATTTTTTCCCTACTTAATTTTACTTTACCTAACTTTCTTTGTAAATAAATTATTAAAAAACTAATCAAAATTACAAACTATTAAAAAGTTAGTACATATTATATAATCAAAATTGATATATAATACTCGTAGAAATTAATTCATGATTACATGAATTTATAAATTTGTACGTATTTTTTTTTTATCTTGCATCTTTGTGTTGTATAAACTCAACAATCTCTTTCATATATATATATATATATATATATATATATATATATATATATATATATATATATATATATATATATATATATATATATAAAGACTTATGATGATTATTAAGTTCCTAAACCTTTGATATTCCATAACTCTCAAATGCACAAAATGGAGGGAAAAATTTTTTTACCTTGATTCTGCTATATTATATATAGAGATTGTGAAAATTATAATATAGATGAAATACAATTAAGAATAAATCAATGTAATTATGTAAATTCTCTCTATAAGTTTATTTGAATATGCACATAATTAGATATTATATTAATCATACAACAATATAATTTTAATATTAATTTTAATTGTAATTTTATATTCTATAAAAATAATAAATACTTGACCAATGGAAGCTCAAAAATATTATTATATTAAATAATTTAAAATATTTTAATTTTTTTATTTTTTATTTATATTTATAATACATAATTTTTTCCCGTGTATCGGGCGGGTGAATTACTAGTAATAATAATAATATTATTAGCTAGCATAGTAGGTGTGGTTCCAATGTGCACCAAAGTCCAAAACAAGCTAAGCTAAGCCGGTCAATTTGGCATCACTCCAAGACTTTGACCTTTTCTTTCATTCCAGATTAATTTTCTTCTCTCTCTCTCTCTCTCTCTCTCTTATTGCTGTGTAGTTGAAGAAGAAATACAGTATCATTCAAAATCCTCACAATGGATATCGAAAAAGTTTCAGGAGGTGATCAGTCTGTGCAGCCAAAAGATGAAAGCCATGTTGATGTTGATGTTGATGTTGATGAAGAGGTGAAACAAATTCTGATGAAAGCATACCAGGGAGAGTTGGTTGACAGAGTTGACCTTTCCGGCCGGCAGCTCATCATCCTGCCGGAACCCTTTGGGAAGCTTCACGCCTTGCTTTCTCTCAATCTTTCCCACAATCAACTACAGGTCACAATCCATAAATTTTCTTCTTTATTCTCTATGTATCATCTCTGTATCTCACTGCAATATCTGGTGTTAAAGACTGGTTCTTTATCTGTTTTGTGAACTCTGAGAAATCCTCGTTTGCATCTTTCGAGATTCGATTCTGTGATCAATTCCTGAATCTGTGATACATGTTTTACTCTATGGTTTCAACAGGCGATTCCAGACTCAATAGCAGGGCTAGTTAAATTGGAAGAGCTGAACTTATCAGCTAACCTTCTTCAATCCCTACCAGATTCTATAGGCTTGTTGATCAATCTGAAGATTTTGGATGTCTCCGGGAATAAACTTAAGGCCCTCCCTGCCACCATTGCTGGCTGCAGGTAAGTGCACCGGGACGACTATTAGAGCACAATATATATAAATAATAAACACACTATTTCAAAATTTGTTTCGAATTCTTGCTCTCAAAAGCCCAAATTTTTATCCGAGAGTCTCCAAATAATACATGATTGCTGGGTGACTCATTAGGTGAGACGACTAGTATATATAGTAGTTGCCTGTAAGGAGGCACCACGCAAGAGGGTGAAACTCTCATATTGCAACTGTGAGTTCTTGATCTCGCTGATTTGGATTCTTCACCTAAGAGGCTGAATCCTCAGCCTCAAGGACCCACATTCTGATCCGACATAACATTTGATGTGTAAATCACGCTGACTCAATGACTCAACAGTCACAACGAAATGCCGCACAATTAATCTGTCCACTTTAAACATAATTCCTACGCTGCCCCAGTTCAAACCTTAGTCTTTTCTCCCTATACTGTATACTTAATCATTGAGCTAAACCTGTGTGGGCATTGGATTCAGGGCATTGGTGGAGTTGGATGCAAGCTACAACAATCTGACAATTTTGCCGAAAAACATTGGCTATGGACTCGCAAATCTTGAGAAGATGAATGTCTCCCTTAACAAGCTATGCATCCTGCCAATATCCATTTGCGAAATCAAGTCCCTGAGATACTTAGACGTGCATTTCAATGAGCTCCACGGCCTGCCGGCGGCAATCGGCATGCTCACCAATCTTGAGTTCTTGAACGCCAGCAGCAACTTCAACGATCTGAAAGAACTCCCAGAAACAATCTGCAATGTCGCGAATCTGAAAGAGCTGGATCTGAGTAACAACCAAATCCGCGTCCTCCCGGACGGATTTTACCAGCTGGAGAACCTCTCCAGGCTGAATTTGGATCAGAATCCGCTGGTAATTCCGCCGGCGGAGATAGGGAAGGAAGGGGAGGAAGCCGTGAAGGAGTTCATGAGGAAGAGGATGATGGAGATGATGGCGGCGGCGGAGGAGAGGATGACGGCGGAAGCGAATAAGGAAACGCAGACAGGGTGGTTGACTTGGGGTTCATCAATGGTGAATAGCCTGGTTTCCGAGGTTTCTCGGGGATATTCAGATTACTTTGGAGGGAATGCTCCCAGTCCTAGTCCCAGTCCCAGGGCCGGGGATCCCTTTTTGGATCACCCGCGATGAGATAATCCCCATAATGCCCTTTCGGGTAGCGGTTGTGAGTTTACTTTTGTCACAAATCTTCAGGCCAACTGATCCACCCAAAAGAGGTGTCTATAATTCAACAAGGGAATTAGTGTGTTCGACAATAAAAACCTTGGATATACCCAACAAATAAATCATATCCAAATACATTTAAAACAACACGAATTTGTTCCGAACATAAGTTAATAATACTTGTTTTCATTTACTGTGGACCATAGTGCATGTAGCAGTGTGGTTTATGAAGTAAGTATCATTTTAATTACACTTCAGTTTCATTTGACAATATTGCTCTGTTTTTCAGTTTCATTTTCCACACGCACTAATTTCATTATAGCAATACCAAAGTATCATTTTAATTCTACCACAGTTTCATTTGATAATATACATTATTGCATAAGCTCTATTTTTGTTGTTTCATTTTTCACACACTAGTTCAATTATAGTAATATTAAAGTATTATTTTAATTACACTCTAGGTTCATTTGACAATATATGTTATTGTATGATTCTGAATTTTAGTTTCATTTTTCATACACACTAGTACAACGCTAAAGTATCATTTTAATTATACTACAGTTTTATTTGACAATATATGTTGTTGAATGAGCTCCGTTTTTTTAGTTTCATTTTTCACACACACTAATTTCATTATAGCAACACTAAAATATCATTTTAATTCTACTACAGTTTCATTTGATGATCATGGTCCACTGTATAAGAACTGTTTCAATGTTACATGGGTCGTGACATGTATTATTTTGTTCACCAAACCTGCCAGAGGTTTGAGTACCAGTATTATTCGACTCATTACCATTCCTAATTTATCAACAGGTGTTAAAAATATTGAATACATTTTATAGGTATTTTAACTTTTATAGAAAAGCCCACAACCATAGAAAATGCTGAGGGGGTTTAGATCATAGGCCCATTTACAGTGGGCAATATGTTATGGCAAAACATAAACAATGAATTAATGAAATGGTCTAACAGGCCCATCTTTAAAAAAATTTAAAATAATAATAAAATAGATTAATTATTAGCATAATTACAGTCAATACTATATAAGTTCTGCTCCTTTCTTGAAGAGGGCTAGAGAAGATAAATCATAGAATATATGTCAATTGACCTATAAACTCCAAAATATTTAGTATGTGCCTATGTGGTAAAATTCAAACCTTACAGTTTACGATTGCTAACAAAGTACAATAAAACTTATGAATTCATTTTAGATTAATTGACTAATTAAGTTGTGTATCGGGCATAGCTGTAAGCCGATACTCTATAGGACACATGAAATGAAGTCTACATTCTCTTTGGGTATAGCCGATAATTTATGTTGGTTTTAACAAAATTGTTATATATGTTTGATATGTGACTAAAAATAGTAAGGTATGTGATACAATTTGTAATTTGATAAAATTAAATCCATTCTTTTACTACAAAATGTACCACACTTTTTCTTATAGTATTTTTTTTTTTTTTTTTTTTGGGAATAGTATATAGCGTTGCATAAGATCGAATTGAAGCATGTATGTATAGGAGGTAAGGAGGTTATAATTATGGAGTATTTATTTAGACATTTATAAAAGAACCTAACATGCACGTTCAATAATGGAAGTATACACCTTGATAGGTTGATGTAGACGAGCATGTAGCAGTTGAATAAATATACAATGACGTAATTTCTTGTTCAATGTTATCATCACTTTCTTTTATTTTCTTTTTATTTTTTTGACGACAAGAGAAATTCATGTACAACCACTATTTGATAAAGTGCACTGAATAAACATCACTTATGTATAATAGCTCGCAACCTACACAAAATAGATACATAATCTTACTAAGAAGACCTTGTACAACGGGTTAGACTGCGAGAGTGTTGACCAGAACTGGATCTATGACTCTTTTTATTTATTTATTTATGAAAATCATGTTCTAATCACTCTTTTTAGGACCATGTTATCATCATTTTTAACTAACTTTATGCAATAATTGTGAGCAATATATACCCATAACACCTACACCCCTTTTCCTCCATGAATTCTAATTGATGAATTGGTTCAGAAAAAAATGAATCACAGTTATTCATTTTCTTATCTTCTTTTATAAAATTATAATATGTGATTAAATTTTACTCTGATCTACCCGAGTACAATTAAGGATCATTTCTTTTAAGATATGGCTATATATACTAAAGCTAGAAGGGTAAAAACTAAAAAGAGAGTGAAGCTAAGACTGATGATGAGCTAAATGAGTAGAATGTGTGCGATAAAGTGGGTGCATTGTTTCAGTAGTTTTGCACGCCTGCTTCCTGCTTTGATATTTACACTCCACATTCCTCAAACACTATGTATCTCTCTCTCTCTCTCTCTCTTTGGACCTATTATCTTGTAGGTGAGTAGGTGACAATACCAAGAAACCATTTCAAATTACTAAAATAATTGATCCGTTAAAGATTTCATAAAATGAAAAGTCAATTACTTCTTCTTTTCTCCAAAAGAAGTGATCAAGTGTAAGGAGTATTATTTTGGGAGAAAAGATCAATGTTTGAATCTCGACGACAGTAGTGTAGGATTATGCTCAACGTGAGCAGATTGCTTGCATGCACCAGCATTTGATCATATCTGCCGAGTCTTTGTGTCACCCTGATTTACATCATCTCAAATGCTCTGTCAGGTCCGGATGTGGGGCTCCGGCTTTAAAGTTGGAGATTCAACATTTTGCGAGAAATTTCAAGTAGTATAAACATAACTTTCGTATTTGAAGGTCATGAACCGGACTCTTACTAATATCTTCTTGTTTGAGTCTGTCACATAGAGTCTTTCTAGTACGATTTACCTATTATGTATAATTTACGAGTCATTACATGGAAGCAGAATTTATCATGACAGTGACAATGAATTTTTCTAGCTGTTAAAAAACAATTATTTGCTAAATCTTTGAATGGCACTTATATTCGATGGGGTGTTTAAAAAAAATTATTTGTGAATATTTTGTTGAATTATTGGTTGTTGTTGGGATGTGGGCATGGATTGGAAGACCAATTATTATTATAATTAAATAAGAGTTAATATATAGCACAATTATTATGTTTGATAATTGAAAATAGAGGTCGAATAATAATGTATGTGCAAAGTCAAAAGTCAAAACGGAGTGGAACACTGGAACGAGGCTGGCACTTCATAAGCCTAGCTTTTGCTTTGCTTTTGGGGTGTTTTCCATATGGTTTACTTTATTAATTATTGGGTACGTGTAAGTGTATCTTTCAGACATCCAAGAGGATTTTTGTAATAAATTGGAAAGGAAAAAATAAATAAATTTATGTGATAAATTTGATCAAGAGAGTATTTGAAAGAATAGAATTTAGTACAAAAATCATGTTCACTTACTCAGTCACATATTTTAGACCAAAATATTATATATCTATAATTAATATAATAAGAATCAATAAAGTTTAGTATATAACTAGAACTAAAAAATATTGGTCAAATTGTTGATTGAAATGAATGGTTCATATTATTTTAATTTTAGTATTTTTATTATTTTTTTGTATTTTACCTTCTATTATATCATTTACTTTAATTTTTCTAAATACCTCTCGCATTCTGTTAGTGTAAACTTTAGTAATGAAATATTGCATTAAATAGCTATTTATTATTCTTAACTTACTCATTGATTTCCATAAGAAAGGTCTTAGGTTTGAACCCAATGCAATTCGAGTTGGTATAATTATTGAATATATTAAAATAAAATATATAAAATTTAACATGAACTTTGGTAAATTAATTAGCCAGATTATATACATAGCATTCAAAAGTTGAGCCTCAAAGATTACAAATAAGGAATCTTGAAAATTATTTTTTTTAATTTTTTTTTTAAAAAAAAAAAAACAAAACAAATCTAGGCTATTGCGGTTTATGATGACGGTTGCGGACGGTGTCGTCGTCGAGAGAAAGCAGTGAGAGAACGACGAGAAGAGAGAAGAGGTCGGCTATGGTGAGATGAGAATAATTAGGAATTAAACCCTAGCCTATAATGTAGATTTTTTTAAAATAAAATTATTCACATCATACAATTCGGCGTCGTTTGAAGTCTGATTTATCTGATTTAAAAATGAATTTGTTTTACTAATAAATAATAAGTAAGACATATAAAATGGTACAAGGAAGTAATAATTTGTATAAATTATTTATAGTAATTAGGCACAGAAATGATGAATATGGATAGACAACATAGATCTGTACATGTTCCAGACATTCCTTGCATGTCACTTTATAATTAAAATACAACTCCAAAATACGAGAGAGAGAGAGAGAGATGCATGTATTCTTGGGACCACTGCACAACCTCTCCCAACTCTAATGCTACTCTTTGTATTTATTTCCCAACTGAAATTAGCAGATCGATACTGTATTTACTCTATCTGCTTCAAATTCATAAATAATATTGTATTTAAACCTTAATTAAAAATTATAGTTCGTATAATCCTCACCAACAACAAGGAGGTTTATTAGAAGATCAAGTTCAGCACTTTGCAATCGTGACACTGATTACTGTTCGTATAATCAGCACTTTTGCGTTCGGTATAACTGTACAAGTTATAATTTCTGACGTAGTGACAAACACTTGATTTGACAATTACTATTTGAACATGCATGTCACAAGTAAACCACGTACCCAATAAATCGTCTATAATGTATGAAAGCTCTCACGGTAACTTAGGTGGCTCTTGGGTGAAAGATTGCACCTATAAGTGCATATATGATCAGTTTTGACGATCACAATAGGAGAGTTTCATGTCCTCCCACATAAGGGGTCGTTGAGTTAGTGTTATTTAATTTCTCCATAATTTTTGTAGAAATTGAGACGCGGTATAGGATAGAGATTAATTAGTTGCTTTTAAGATGGAAAAGCTAAGCATTATCCAAAGGTTGTTTATTACCACATTTGTGGGTTTCAGCGTAGCGTTGGCGATTATATGTTCGAAAATTAAAGAAGACATAATTGTTTGGTCGGTTTGCTGTCTGATTAAAACGAGTAGCGTAGCAAATTTATCACAGTTGTGTGCAGAAGCCACAATGAATATTGCCATAAAGAAGTTGGCGGAGAAATACTGCGACCATTACATCATCACCCTCACAAATTGAAATTTCAAAATGCATCAAATAATAATTGCATTATGACGTCACCTTATTTTTATGGCACAAACTTGTGTGAGACCGTCTGAATTGAATCACGATAAAAAGGTAATACTTATACTGAAAAATATAGTACTATTAAAAAATAAAATATTTATTACTGAAAATGTAATACTTTTGAAAAAAAAATATATAATACTTTAACATTTTAATTTAAGAAGATTATATTTTTCTTCAAAAATATTACATTTTTTTAAATAAGTAACAAAAAACACGCTAAATTGCTAAAATGGACAATATATTTTTGGTTTTTGAATTTTATTTGAGTTTGGGACAGGAACTCTCTAATGAAGAATCACACCAAATCCATTGGTTGTATGATAGTCATCTCATAATTATCAAACATTATTTTTTTTCTTCCATTATTTTCTTCTTTAATTACTCCCTATGCCAACTTCAGTCCGTCCCATCGGCCACCAGTACTAGCTGCGTAGCTATCATCACGTGTTCTTAAATTATTAAATATAAACAATAAAATATTATTTTACACTATTTTAATAGAAATATATCGAAGTCTAATTAAATATAAGTGTAAATTATCATAATGTAATTAACTATGGAGTAATTAATATATAAGTATGGTTTTAATTCTAAATGGAAAAATTATATATATTAATACAAAATTTAATATTATTAAAAAATTAAATAATAAATAATTTCAGTCAAGTCTCATCAACCGAATCATATACATAAAATATAACAAAGAGAATAATATTAAATCTTTTCAATTACTAATATATGGTATCAAGAACATTTTGGTAACCTCATTTTTTTTTTATTATTATAAGGAATAAGGGGATACCCTACATATACACATTACTTGCCTCAACCGAGGTTTGAACCCATCACTTCCCACTTAGGGGAGCAACCCGATACCAGTGGACTACAAGCCACTTAATATCATTAATATTCATGAATCTGCGAGCCACAGTTGTCATTACGAAATGTGTCTGAACTAAAATTATTTTGGTAATTCTACTTATTTTTTTGTTCATGTGTAATAACATGCAAACCACATAAGAAAGTCACATTGTTGTAAAAAAAATTTTATACAACGATTTAAATGAGAAGATGCTAATTACAAAAGTCAAACTTATAATTTTTTCATACGAGTATAATGTTCTATTCACTTAGAATCAAGCTTGCATAATGGCATCTGTACTTAAACTACAACTTATCTCTACATACCCACCATACACGTACTCACGTAGTCATAATTTACCAAATAAACATAAGGTTAGAGTAGGATAATAAAGAACCCTAATTTAAAAATATAGTTGAGAGTTGAGACAATTCCATGTGAAAGCAAAAACCCTAGTTTTCAAATCCTAATAATAGCAATTACTACTAGCTAGCTTCCTTTTCAAGTTCAAATTATCAGCATTACAAAGCATGCGTGATTAGAAATCAGGTGAGAAACTTTCCATCTAAAGTAAAAGATATAAATATATATGATATATCATCAAACATTTATGTATCACTTTAAAACATCATAAGCAAGTGTGTGAGGAACAAATTCTAGGAGCCGCCAGTGTAATTTATCTCTGTGTCTCTCACAGTTTCACTGTTTGGGAATAGAGACCTTTTCGACTTCCAAGGAAAATTCGTTCCATTCAAGAAAATTCTGGCAATTGATCCTATATTAATTCATACACTATATATCACCTTTTTTTCTCTAACTTTTGCCCCCAAATCCTGACATGGATGTAGGAAAGGTGTGCCTCAACCACCATTACAAATATGCAGAACAAATGTTTTTTCTTTTATAGGAATGGAAAATAAAATGAGTTATAAAAAACATGATATCATCATACTAATATAGTACCACTACTAGAAATTATGAAATTTCTAACCACCTGAAAGTGATATTAAATCAAGTCGAAAGTCTTGTTCCGACCACTTTTAGTGTTTGAAAAAATCTTTGTTGCTATTTCCGACCACTTTTACTTTCAACTTGATTTAAGATTACTTTCAAATAGTCAAAAATTCCATAATTTCCAGCAGTGTGTACTGTCATTAAAAAAGATTAGATATTTTTTTTTTGTGACATTAAAAATGCATATTCTCATCATATAAAGGTGATCAAAGTTGGATAAAAAGTATATTTTTTGGGGGTCAAAATAACACGAAAGTGTCTGTACGTGTTTCTTGTGGTGTTTAAAATCCACAACAACAGGGACTAAAAACAGCTAAAAATTTATATGGATTCATTGAAAGAAGCAATCCATTTCCTAAAATTAGACCAACAAACCTGGGAAACCCTATTGAATTCGAAATCGGCGTCAATCAAATCAAAAATTCATGCAGACAACTCCCCAGTTTTCCAGATTCTCCTTTTTTCTTACTTTCCTTTTCACCTTGATTCATTTGTCTCTTGTGCCGTGGAGTTGCAGAAGATATATACCTCCAGACATTTACTGTGCCCCAAAACAAAACTACAGTTTTGGGTTTTAGATCAGATCAGCTACCAAGTCCAAGTTCCGAGCTGACTGCATTTTCTTCAATTCCTTCAAAACCCCATGCTAATAATGGCAATATAATAATAAATTTGTGTCTAATTTTCCGAGGAAGATGACTTCTGTTGTGCTGGATCTCTTGTCACACAAGAGGAAAAATAGCAACCACTTAGGTCCGGGAACCCAACACGTGGACCGTACCCATGACCTTTTAGTCTGGCTCTGATACCAAATTGAAGCATGTGCTCCATCTTAACTAAAAGCCTAAACTGATAGTTAGATTGCATGGCTATATGCTCAACAGTATTAAGTTGAGTAAATTTAGTTCTTCCTATGTAAAGATCTTTTATCATGTTGTCATTCTTTTTGGCGATGAGGAAAATCAGGCAAATTATATTGTGCACCGCGGTGCATAATGAATTATGCATCGAACTTCTAAACGACGTCATTTTGTTTAATAAAAAGAAATAGCATCCGTTACACGCCGTTCCGCAAAAAAGTAACTCTGTTATTCAGTTTCATTTTGTATACATTGCAGTTTCATTTTGATATAATTACAGTTTTATTCGATATTATAACACTCAAATATGTGAAAATGTTATTTAATTTTATTTTATATACACTATAGTTTCATTAAAATACAACTACATGAACATTTCGATATAACTACAGCTTCATTGCACAATATACACTCAAATATGTGAAATGTTATTCAGATTCATTTTATATACACTGTAGTTTCATTTCAACACAACTACAGTATCATTTTAATATAACTACAGTTTCGCTGGGCAATATACACTCAAATATGTGAAATTGTTATTCAGCTTCATTTTGTATACATTGCAGTGTCATTTCAACACAACAACAGTTTCAATTCATTTCAATTGCAGTTTCACTTGACAATATAAAAATAATACGTGAGGCAATATCAGTTTAGATACACCGTAGTTTTAGTTGTTAATTAATACACAAAACATGCACGCTCCATTAACTGTAACGGCGCACCGTTTCTTTACTTGAAGAAACGTCGCCGTTTTTGGACCGCGGTGCACAATGCATTGTGCATCGCGGTCCACAATATAATTGCTAGAAAAATTACAACCTCTATATGATGGTTGAATTGGTATTGGGTTGAGTAAACTTAACTCATGTAAGGATCTTTTGTCATTTTGGTTCTTGAATTGGGCGGTTTGATGGTGAAATTACGAAACTAGCCGAAATGGGAGTAAACTTTGGGTTAGTTTATCGCATAAAATTAGATTCTTTGCATGCATGGGATGAAATTGATGAATTCACTATACATACAAATTCACACATATATAAAATTGGGAAATTACATATAAAGTTTGAATTTCAAACTTAAAAGGCTTTTTCATGCTATTTCTTAAAGGTAGATGAGCGAGGTAAATCGAAAAATGTGTCTAAAGTGACCAACAAATTCTCAAATGTTTGTACCCACAATAATAACACCAAATCTATACCTCTATTCTTTGACATTGGTAGGGTTCGAATCCCCATATTTGATTAAAGATTATATCCTAATATGCTATGTATAAAAATCAATCTTTTTATCAATCCCATCAACTTAACTGTGTGCGTGCGCGCACACACACATATACTCGAATACACTATTAAGCATTTTTAAATAAACAATTGTAATTACAAAAAAGGCTAAGCTACCATGTTTATGCACTGTGAAAATTATAAAAATGTTACTACGTTTTTTTTCATTTTCATTGATTTTCAGATTTTGATATATATATATATATATATATATATATATATATATATTCTGCTAACAGCACGAAAAGCTATCTTTGCACATCATCCACTCCCTCCCCCTCCCTCTCTCTCTCTCTCTCTCTCTCTCTATATATATATATATATATATATATATATATATATATATATATATTAGTGGCCAAATATGTCACTTTCCCTAAAAAAAATTACATTTATTATTGCATATAGTGGACCAAAAGAAACACTTGTTTCTCCATGTGTGTAAGGAGAGTGAATTCTCATATGCCTCTATAAATGCAACTGCGAACCCCAAAGCACTATAAATACAAGCTCATCTTCATGCTCCATAGTCCATCCATCATATTCTCTGGTGAAACACCTTGAGGCATAGCTTGCTTGAGTGAAACAAAACACCCAAAATATTCCAACATTTCTACCATCACAACCTTTGTTTCCTCGTTTCATTTCATAACCTTAACCTAGTACTATACGCACTTGTCTTTTCACCATCATCAAAATGGAAGAAACAATGAGGAGGCTAAACACCCTTACTGAGTCTCCTGACCTCCTTCACGTCAAACCCTCTTTTCCCACCCCTTCCAAGAGATGCGCCACTGCCACTTCCACTGCCGCCACATCCACCGCCGCCAATAACAAGAGGGCCTTAAGGGACGCCGCCGCTGACTCCGCCGGTACTACCAAGATGAGGTATCGGGGCGTGCGCCGCCGTCCGTGGGGCCGTTACGCGGCGGAGATAAGGGATCCGCAGTCCAAAGAGAGAAGGTGGCTTGGAACGTTTGATACGGCGGAGGAAGCCGCCTGTGCTTATGACTGTGCCGCTAGAGCTATGCGTGGGGTTAAAGCTAGAACCAACTTTGTGTACCCGCCGCCGCTCGCCGCCGCCGCCGCCGACTGCTTCAGCCACCCTCTTTACAGCAGCAACAAGTTCACTTCCCATCACCAGATTTCGCTCAAGGATTTGCCCACAAAACAGTTCTTTCAGTCCACCTTTTCAAACCCTTACAATCTTTCGAGGAAGATGAACAAATCGTTACACACTCTCCCGGTAACCGATTTTCTCAACCCATCATCAACCACCGCCGCCGCCGCTCCAAGCATCCATCTCCCTTCCATGCTCAACAACAACCTCAGCTCTCTAACTAGCAACGTCTTCTGCACCACCGTGAGCCTTCCAACGTTCCCGGAGCCGCCGCCTAAAAACCCCTGCACCCAAATCGAAGAAACCGGGATGGACTTCTTTCCGACCGATCCCTCCGGTTCCGGCCTGCTAGAAGAAGTCCTAAACGGATTCTTCCCAAAACCCAACCCCGCAAAATCCGTTCCCTTGCCGGCGGTGGACTCTTTCGCCGTGAAAACAAGTGTCAACAACCAGTTCGGAGTTTTCCAAGGAGGAGTCGGGGTTCAAGCGCAGTTCGGGGATTCCATTACCGGTTTTGAGGATTCACAGACGTCGTCGCTTCCGTTTCACAATGATTTCTCGGCCAACTTTCAGATTTCGCCGGAAATAATGCTCGGAGATATGCTTCATCAGTTCCCGGACCCTTTAAACGTGTTTACAACTAATTAAAATATCTAATTACGTTGTTCAATCTTGTTTCTCCTATGTAGACGACAACATAATGTTGTTACTCAAGCTTAATCTCCTCTTTGTTCTTCATTAACAAAGCATCAAGAACTATATAGAAGTATTATAGTGGTAGCTAATGAATAAAAACCATTTATTTATCTTTGTGATTTCTTTATATAAATGTGTATTTTTGTTTTATACTTAGCTTCCATGTTAAATATCTTTATCTAATAAAGGAAATTAAAATGAGACAAGAATTGCCCCAAAGAGGTGGACAATAGTACAAAACTTTTCTAATGCACTTTATCTTTAGTTAATAGTTATTACAGATGCAATTTATATCTTGAACCACGGCGCGCGTTGCATTGTGCACCCAGATGCAAAACGACGTCATTTCAATTTTTTTTTTTTGAAATTTTCCGCCCCATTATTTGGCAGTTAATTTTTCTTTTAAAAAAACCATGTACATAATGTTATATTAAAAAGAATACACATAATTGTATACATGAATGTACATAATTATATAACAAAATATACATACTCTTTTTTAAAAGATAATATACACACTACTGAAAATTATGGAATTTCCGACCACCTGAAAGTGATCTTAAATCAAGTCGAAAGCCTTGTTCCGATCACTTTTGGTATCCGGAAAAACCTTTGTTGCTATTTCCGACCACTTTTTGGACTTTTTGGTATCAACTTAATTTAAGATCATTTTCAGGTGGTCGGAAATTTCATAATTTCCAGTAGTGACATAATCTAACATAATACATAATAAACATAAACTTTTAACATAATACACATCAACTTTTAATATAATACACAAAAATTTTCTGATTCATATGTACATAATTGTATAAAAAGAATGTACATAATTGTATAAAAATGTACATAATTGTATGAACAAATATACATAATTGTATGAACAAATATACATAATCACAGCAACTTCCTACCGTGCATCCCAAAACGACGTCGTTTTGGGAGGCGCGCGGCGCACAGTGCTACACGCGCCGTGGTGTAGGGTATAACGATTGTATTACAGATATGGAAAGGAGATTTACCAGGCCAATACACATTCTTAATTGTTACGAAACTCAGCCTACTTTATTACTAGAATCAAGTCTTAAGTAAGATTTTTCATCTACTAAATTAATGCCGGGTGGCAATACCATTATTCTGTAATACAATGGTTTTCATGGTATTGTTTTCTTTTCATAAAAATAGGAAGTTTCTATTCCTTGCCTAAGCAAATGCTGCTTTGTTTCACATCCTTTAATTTGTAGTAAACAATAAAGTTTGGGTTATTTGGGTATACATGATTCTTAGGGAGTTGACCTTCTATTTTCAGAAAGTTTAATTTCTTTATATTGCTTTATTGGAGTTTGTGAGAAAAATGAGGCTGAAAGAGATTAGATAATAAATTGATGATCTAAGTCCCACAAATACACAATGAGATATTAAATTGATGATCTAAGTCGCACAAATACACACATTGTGAATGGGAAAATCAAACTTCCTCATGTATATTGATTTGAGTGAAGGAGTATAAAATGTAGTAAAAAGTAGAAGTATGTATAGTATTATTCTTATGAACGCTCTTGATATGATATGCTCGAATTTATTTTTAAATAAATTCGTTTTAATTATATTTTTTAATTTTTTTTATATGACAAAAATTTGTGTGAGAGTGTCTCGCGGTCTCAATCTGTGAAACGGATCAGATATTTGATTAATGATATCTGTCTCACAAATTGAGACCTGCGAGACGGTCTCACAAAAGTGTTACACTTTTTATATAAGTTTAAACTCTAAGTTTAAGGTAACAAACCCCAAATGCTTGTATAGAATGCTCACAACAAAATCACATCTATTCGGACCTCCATACTCCAATTACTAGCAAGATATATAACATTGTATTTTTTCTCAAATTTTCAGTCTTGTTCGTTATATCAATTCTGGGCATCAAATCAGTTTGCATTTCTTCATATATGGCAAATATCAATAACAAAAAATAATGATGTAATAATATACATAATTATTTAAAAAGTTATTATGGACTAAAATTATTGTTGTCCCCAGCAGAATTATTCTAAAATTTTACATCAGCGTAGATGCTACCTAGGATGCAACTTACACGGTACTGAACATCATTTGATGCATATATATATATATATATATATATATATATATATATATATATATATACATATTATATATGTAAGCTGCTAGAATGTTGTGGACCAGCCGACCAGGCCATTACATAGCAGCAACATTTGTTGTATAATCTTTAATGATCTTCACATCCCCACGTCATCTCCATTTTTATCGTTACCCCGTAGCTTCCTTTGGGAGAAACATTAATGATATTACGTACCAACTTGTTATATATTCACATTATACACCCACAATTCAAAAATACTCCGATTCGTCCTGAAAGAATAGACGAATAGGTGAAACATGATTTTCGTATTTCAAAATCACGAGTTTGATTTTAAATTGTTAAAAAATTTTCGATTGAATCAGTATAGATGTATATTTTGATCAAGTTAGAATCAAGTATTTACTATTACGTCAAAATCTATATATTTCTTTATACTTGGATCAAGCGCTTACTAATACACCAAAAGTTATAGATAGTAATGAAGACGGACACAACTTTAGTTCCTTATAATTGCGTCATGTTAGACTCGGGAACTGCTCTGATATCAATTGTCAAGATCAAGTATATACTACTACACCAAAAGTTATAGCTAGTAACGAATGTGTGCAACATTATTTTCTTATATTTGCATAGCAGTTAGCACCACGTTCCGATGGCATGATGCTAGGCTTGATTCTCCAAGTCGCCGCCCAACAGATCATAATGTTGTTTATGTCTCATATGTTACTGGAAGATGACATGTGCCGGAGCATAGTAGAATGGAGCACAACGAAGCAAATCAAAATATACTACACATGAGTAATTTTCTAAATGTACCATTGAATTATCCAAAATTAATAAAAGATCTTCTTCGCTCTCATGTTGACTCTCGGCAAAACCACAAAAATTTTCTTCTTTGTTTTCATTTTCTATTCTTGATTTCATGATATCGTTTTTTCTCAATCATAATATAAAAAATCCTCCAACCTAGGGAGTCATTACAATACCTTGACCGATCAGATATGATGAAGACCTCGGCCTTCTGCGCGAAGTGTACAGCCAGGAGTGGAACGGGCAACTCACGATATACATCCTCTAGTGACTCTTGTTCCGGATTTTGGAGACTTAAAATTAATTTGCCTTAGGCTAGAAAACACTCCAATAAAGCTAGAATATGAAAAGTGTATAATAATGATGGCATCAATAGTGAACAGTATAAAGGGTGAATGTAGTATTTATGTATATAATGTGGGTGCAGAATAGTACTGAGGAATTGATATTCATGCATGCATGCAAGCATATAACATTGGCCTACACGACGTAAGCATAAGATCATATTATAAATATGTTATATGTATATCACTGCAAAAGATCAGCCTGCACTGATATGATGCCTTTATATATGCACTGCAATACCATAAATACATCTCCGGCAACCCAATGAATGCTCTCAAAATTAAGGATGGCCGGAAGTTGGTGGCCCCGGCATGCAGGCGTCAGAGCTGACTGTTGTGCATGCGTCATCACATCTGCCAAGGCCACGCATATATTATACTCCACGTTATATATGTATATACATGCTAATCAAATGTTATTTAGTATGCCACGTTCTTCGCCGCCGGCCGCCGCCGGTATGTATAGATATATATAGCCATTGTGTTGCATTAATTTTATTAATTTGGTATCTACTCGTCTATCTATATGTGTTTCTGGATTTATATTATTTATATAAATGAGGAAATAAATACTTCTAGAATGTTGGGTGATGGATATATTAGGATCGGAGCAAACGGACCCGTGGAGGTGGAGCAAGACCCGGGCCCCCGGGGTTAAGGCCTGGGCTCGGCCCATGAGGCCTCGGCTAGGAGTAGGTGCCGACCCCAAAGGGGTCGGCCATAAACGGGGTCAGCCACAAACAGGGCCGACCAGGGACCCAATCAAACGAGTGCGGTCAACACGGATCTAACCAACCCCGCCACTCTAGGGGGCGTAGCTATAAATACCCCTCACATTGTCTCATTAAGATACGTTCATTATATTCTACCTACTATTGTCCTAATTAAGCAGTGTAATAGCTTATTAGTGATATTTAATATAGTATACGGTCTCCGCGATCTTACGACATCGTTTTGCTCGTTTTATCTATTTCACATATACATTCTTTACCGGAATTAAGTAATTCGAGTCCACCCTGAATAATTAAATCTATCACCCAGTGATATGAGTGCAGTGCTTGATCCACACCGGGAACAACAAGGGAACACTTCTATAGTTATGGTCTTAGCTTGAGGCTGAACCTACACGAATAGTGGCAATGGATGTACCTATGGACTCCGACTTCTTTTGAAGTAGTGTCCAAGTTGTGTGTCCCAATAAGAGAAGGGCAATTCTGGGTCTGACACCCAACACATGGTGTTGGAATTGGTCCTTTATCAGACTCTGCCCAACAAAAGGACAATTATATATGAAATAAATTGTGTCATGTTTAAGGCACTGCATGTTGAGTGTCTCTAAAGACAAAATTGGTTGCAAAATATATACAATATGGTACGGTATACCTCTGAGGAATCAGCAATATAATACGGTGTGTAAATGGGTAATTATTTAGGGATATAAATGCGTGCTTGGCTTGTTGGAGTTAGGGTGTCCGGCTACTTAGTAAATACGGTTTGGTTTATTACATTAATGGAAGTAGATAATTTAATTGTGCAGTGTACTATGACACTATGAGTGTGCAAAATTGTATTTATGCTACACGCGTTTGTCTTTGCCTGCGTGGAACAATAACGGACCACTTCAAGGGAGTTGGCCCAATACATGAAACCCTAGTGAGTAGTGACAGTGGAGCCCATTTGAAAAAAAAAAAAATTACTACATTCACTCTCACTTTTTATTCACAATTTTTAGACCTTGATTTCATAAATCTTTGATGTATATACTTTTTTCTGGTGGACCCACATGATGAAAATATCATATCTTTGTTTATCACATCATGAAGTAAAAGTGAGCGAGTAAAATTTAGGTTGTCTTCATCTCAGCAAGTGAACCCCTTTCAAGATGATGTGGAAGGTAATGTAGATTTTTTAATTTTATTTTTTGTTTTATTTTGTTAGCTTATGTAGCTTGTAAGCTTGCTACAATAGCAAGTTTACAATTGACTTTTATTTCCTTTTTTATTTTTATTTATTGTATTATTACTTTATTATTATATTTATAATATAATATGTAAGTTGGGCTATTTTTGAAAGTGAGAGAATATTGTGGGATGTAGAGAAAATATTAAAGAATTTACAGATTTGATGATGTTAAAGTGGGATTTACTTTTGAAAATGAGAGAATATTGTAGGGATAATGATAATCTTAAGAGTGCCTAGCTAGAGTATAACTCTTTAAAATATTAGTCTAGTAATGTCCTACATTATTTTATTTTTTTTGAAGTAATGTCCTACTTTAGTTCACAAGAAAATATATTTTCGAGATAATTTACTCTTCAAATTTGAGAAAAAATAGTGTTGTTTTTATGACTAAAGCAATCGAAAGATTACCAACAACCAGTCTTTAAGAAAGTAATGAAAAGTCAAAACCTTGTGGTCTAATTGCACTAAGGTTGGACTTTCATATGGAAGATTATGAGTTTAAGTCTTAGTAGAGACAGTATTGACTCTTTGTGTTTCAGCAGAATGGATACTACATGTCTACATTCTAATAGAAAGTAGTGAAAAAAAAAAAAAAAAAAAAACTTGAAAGGACACAAAAATAAGGTATTGATACAGCTTTTTTTTTTTTGGATAAAACAAAATAGTGCCCATTGGCAAATTATACTGTGGACTCTAGTCTACAAAAATAGGGTATTAATACAGCTTTTTTTTGGATAACTAATTGGTTTAGTGAGTTTGACTAATTAATAACATTAGCGGATTGTAGTAAGATGTTTGGTAAATTAAATGTTAGCTAATAAACGATTACATGCAACATGACTTTCTAAAAAAGCTGATCGAAAAAACTGTTTTGAGCAGATTTTTTAATTGTAGCGTTTTATAATAACAAACTATTACAAAAGGCTAATTAATCAAACACTTAACCAAGTCAAACAGCTAATAGTTGTCAAATAGACCAAAATTGACTAATAAACTAACTATGTTACTAAACATGGTCCTAATGCTTTAATTTCGGGGAAATTGACAACCCCTACTGGAATTACTTAATCCTTCAATGCTATCGTCTGAGGTTGTGGGCATGCTTCAAGGAAGAATGTCTGTCCCTAACATAACCACAGAAGGGCAAATTATGCTGTGCATCCGTATGCACCATGCATGGTGCATACGGATGCAAAAACGACGTCGTTTTAATAAACCACGCGTCTCTCCTAGAAAAAAAAAAATCAGGTTCGATTCCCAGCAACAACATATGAATTAAAATTCCAGAATCGATGAACTATAATTCCATAATCGATGAACTATAATTCCAGAATCTAATCTATGAACTAAAAATTCCAGAATCTATGAACTAAAATTCCAAAATCGATGAACTACAATTCCAGAATCGATGAACTATAATTCCAGAATCAATGAACTATAATTCCATAATGATTGAACAACATAATGCTGTTGCTAGGAATCGAACCTGAATTTTTTTTTTTAAAGGAAAGACGCGCGTTTTTAATAAAACGACGTCGTTTTTGCATCCGTATGCACCATGCAGATGCACAGCATAACTATTTCCACAGAAGAATATGACGGGCTTTCATAGTTGGCAGAAGAATTCCTCTGCAAGCACATTAAAGGCCCAAACTAAACAAGATCAGCCAGAAGACAAACTCAAAAATGAAAACTATGGGTCGGTTTAGTCAGACTATAGGTCTATTCAAAACATGGGCCTTAGACCAGGGCCAAGCCGGCAAAACCCTTTCTCTCCCAAAAAAATTTGTAGGAAGATGGCATGGGCTTTTCACCAGCCAGACTGGTTCAGATTGTGCTTTACTTGCATGTTTTGGGTGTTTTACATGATCCCATTATTTGTTTGCAATTTATATCGTGAACCAGGGCGCGCATTGCATTGTGCGTCCTGATGTAAAATGACGCCGTTCTATATAATTGTATAAACAAACACACATAACTGTATAAAAAAATATACACATAATTGTATAAACAAATACACATAACCACGTCAACTTCCTACCGCGCCTCCCAAAACGACGTCGTTTTGGGAGGTGCGGGGCGCACAGTGCTATGTGCGCCGTGGTGCAGGGTATAACGATTGCTATTTGTTCGAATTGTTTATTGATTTTCCTGATTTGAACAGATACCGACAATCTATATTGATTTAATAATTTCCCTCCTTGTAGGCCATAACAGAGTTTTATTCATAAAGACACTCTCAGCTGCATATTTTCTAGTAAATCAAAGATACACACAAAATGTCTCTCAATTTCACATATTATAATAGTTTAAAAAGAAAAGAAGTGAATTCTTGATTCTAATTGAATAGATTTGAGGTTTATTAGCATAGGTTACACCAACTATAGACATTGGGGTTTACTTTTGTCTAAGGATTACAAAGTTTAATTTGATTGGGAAGAACTTGGAAATGGCGGAAACCAAAAAAAAAAAAAAAAAAAAATCATATCAAGATTGATGAAAACAGAGTATGTTTATACGTTATATTAAGAAGATAAACAAAAACTTTTTGATTCATATCCTTTGACTCGCACAATTCCTGCTTGACCACAACTTGCTGAACATCTTCTTCGGCCGGTTAGGAGCAACACACAACGCTTTAGTCCTCGAACCTTTCCCCATCCCGCCGGCGAAGTTTCCGTCCAACTCGTCGTCCTCCGCCAGCTTCATCTTCAGCGTGGAGAGCTTGGAATTGGGTGTCATTTTGGCGGCGGCGAAAGAGGCGGCTGAGGTCTTGGCCCCGACCTCCTCCGCCGGCGCGGCTTTGGCTAACAACGCCTTGATGTTGCCCGGAAGCTCCGTTATGTGGGCGCCGGAGACGGTGGCCCGCGCTTGCTCGAAGAAGAGGACTTGGACCACTACCCGGAGGGGAAGAAGCTCGTTCTGCGCTGCATGCATGCACGCTTCCATTGATAACTTTCTGCAGTCTAGACTCCTGCACAGACGTTTTCTTTCCGTCTTGTTCAGTTCTTGGTGGCCCTGCGTTTTTGAAGTTCAACGATTATACATCGGAAAATGTTGGGAATTTGACATTTTTTCTTGCAGACCAATGTTGCAAAAATTGCGATCGATTAATTGGCGCTTAGGCGCTAGACGGTCCACCACCTAGGTGCCGATTAATCACCTGCCTAGGCGCTTTAGGCGCCCTAAGCGGTTCCAGACGGGCTCTAGGCGCCCGTCGAGGCGCTCTAAGCGGTCCAGGCGGGCGCCTAGTGATTTTTTCATGGTAAATACATAAATAATTTAAAAGGAAAGAACTCTCGCCACTGAAAATTATGAAATTTCTGATATGAAAGTGATTTTAAATCGAGTCAAAGACCACTTTTAGTATCCGGACAAAATCTTTATTGCTATTTCTGACCACGTTTATTACTTTTAAACTTGATTATCACTTTCGGTGGTCGGAAATTCCATAATTTCAGGTAATGTCTATAATTAAGCGTTGTACCTTAAGAAAGATGTCAATGGCTCTGTAGAGATCGTCGTGGTCGATTCTGGCGAAATCGGGGATGGATTCCGCGACGGCGATGAATTTGGACATGGACAAATTTGGGTCTCGGGCAATCTCCTGGAGATAGCCGTCGACAAGCTTGGCGACTTTGAGCTTGGAGCTATGCGAAGCGGAGGACGATCTCCGGCTTTCTTGGAACTCGAGGTCGACATTCTCGGCCGACCGGGATCTCCGTCTCTCGAAATCTTTGGTCCGGCGAGGAGGGCTTGTCGGGGGGCTGGGCTGCCCCTGCATCATGAACTGTTCTAGGATAGTCAGCACGACATCGACGTCGTAGATTGTGGCGTTTTTGTCGGGCTCCGATGGGATCAAGAGGTCTCCGACGGCGGCGTCTTCGAGCTGGATCGCGACCCGTCTTGCTAGCTCCGTTTTGGAGGCGGTGGAGGCTCGGAGAATGTTGGCGGCTTTGAGGAGCTTAAGGAGGAAGCCGGTGGAAACGGCGCCCTTTTCCGGCGGTAGAAGGCTTATGATTGACTCCAAAATGAGAGCGTGTTTGGAAAAGACATCCGCGAGAGAATCTGCAGATTCCTCGGATTTGGCGTATTTGGAAACGTTGGGTAGCCACCGCGAGGCGTAGATTCTCAGGGCGTCGCCGATTAGGTTCGCCGGAACTCTCACCCCTGATTTTATAGCAATCATGGTTCTCCAGTATAAATCCACACTCAATTCCGCCAAATCCTCCGCCCACCACCCCTTCCCCGAGGACGGGGTTTTCTTGGTGTGCCGGAGACTCTCCGATCCATTACAGGAAACCACATCATCCCTCCCGCCGGCGCGGCGGGAGTAGCTCCGGGAAAGATTCATCTTGGTGGGATGGGCCAGAACCTTGGAGGCAATGGCGTCGATACACCGGCCGGTGATCCCCAGATCCTCCGACCACAGGGCAAACGCCTTGGTGCTCTGAAGCGTCACGATGGCGTCTTTCCACCCCTGCAAAATGCAGGAATTCAAGAAAGCTTCCAGCTTGAATATCAAGTTCCCCTTCTCCACCTCCTCCGTCATCTGCAGATACTCCGCCGCGCACCGGGCGGAGACAATGTTGTAGGCGCTGAGCGTGACGGTGATGCCGTAGCAGAACTTGGCGCACAGCTCGAACGCCTCCACCCCGCCCGGAAAATCCGGCAGCTGCACTATCTGGTGCTGCGAACTCTCCGGGCTCTGCGACTCCGAACACAACCTCTGCAACCTCAAACACTTCGACAACAGCGGAAACTGCTCAACAAAACACGACCGGAAAATCAAGAATTGATCGATTACATGGCCGGAAAATCAAGAATTGAGTACACAGCCGGAAAAACAAGAATTGAGTACACGGCCGGAAAAACAAGAATTGATTACACTACCGGAAAATCAAGAATTGAGTACACGACCGGAAAATCAATTATTGAGTACACGGCCGGAAAATCAAGAATTGAGTACACGGCCGGAAAATCAAGAATGGTAGGTCTCTGTACCTTGTGAAGCAAATATCTGCTCCCTTTGACTTGGACTATGAGATCACTCGAAACTTCCGAGGAAACCGATCTGCAAATCAACAACCTCAGGAAATTAAAAACCCCAAACAAATTCGATTATTCCAACGCTAAAAACAGAAAGCTAAAAAGACGGTAAAAATCACCTGACGGCTTCAGAGGTGTAGAAAGTATCCGGCCGAGATCCAAGTTTCATAAACTTCATGGCTGCAAGTCTGCAACTTTATCTACTAAGATTTTCTGGGCTGCCGTTAAATAAGCAGTTTCAAGATTCAACAAGCCAGCATGGCGGAGTCAGAGGGACAAATTACAAATATATGTTGTCGGAAAGACACAAAAAGCCACAACCAAGATTAATAACCCAGAAACCCACTTGTTTCTACTGCAATCTTTTCAGTAAAAACAAACCCAAAATAAGGTTAATTAAAAATTTTTAAAAAACCCAACAAGAAAGAACTAATATAAAACCTGGAGAACTGAAAAAGGGTTTTGGGATTTGTTAATATCTGGGTAACAAGGAGAGAGAGATATATAACAGTGGCGACTAAAACGACATGAACCAAGAAAATGATCGAAGCCACCCCAATTAAAATCCTTGTCCTTTCAGTCAAATTCCCTGCCCCATTTTGATTTAGACATGCAAGAACAAAAGAATCAAAGGCCACACCAATCCCATCAACTAACCCAAACTAAACCCGCCCGGATCAAATTACAAAAATTAAAAACCCAAACACCATTAACCCCCCCAAAAAAAAACATAAAAAACTGAGATACAATGATCAGACCACAACCTGATAAAATTTTAAGGTTGTTTTGTACTCTCGAAAGCTGCCAACTTTATTATATTTATATGTTTTCTTTCTTGTACCCAAGAAGGGTTGGAGAGAATTGAAGAAGCTAATGTGGTTTAGAGGTTTGGTTCCATGGCAGAGCGCAAAGCAATAAGAGAAAGGCAACGACGCCCACGGCCCACGTGCTTATCTTGTGCCCACTTGGGACCTTCAACCTCATCATTGTTGCAGCTACTTTTTTTTTTTTTTTTTTTTTTTTTTTGGTAATTTGTGGAAATAGTTTTTTTTTTTTTTTCCTGATTCATTATTTTAGTCAACATTCCATGATTATGGATTGGTATTATGATTGTACGCCGCTCTGCAGTACGCCGAAGTATGATTGAATTTAGGAAAATTAATTAATTAAAGATAATAAAGAAGAATAGGAGCAGGCAGGCGGAGAAAATGAGAAGATGGATGAAAAAGCATGAAGAGAAAAGGTATGAAATGAGAAGCCTAAAAGGATTATTGGATCGCTAGCAAACAACCTAAGCATCAATGGATTGGTGAAGTCTATGATTTGATTTAATGTGGTCATCGTCCTAACAATGTATAGTGCCCACAGATTTTTTTTATTTTATTTTTTTTAAGTTAGTTTATTTGTGTGTAAATGTATATACTTTTCATTCTTCCAATGTATATACTTTTCATTGTTCCTTTCAATGCTTGTTATTCGGTCGGGTCATGTTTGGGAGAACTATTTACACATAAATTTCATGGCATTAAGGTGTTAATAAGCTGACATGAGTTTGCTAAGCATATTGTGTACAGATGACACTCGGGTTGAACTCTCATATGGGAAGTTGTGAATTTGAGCTTCAGTGGAGACGTTATTGGCTTTTTGTATTTCAGTAGGTTGAGCTTAAGTATACATTGAGAGAAGGAAATAAGTGGACCACCTTGTCAATAGTGTTTTATCGCCCTTGAAATCTTGTAAATCTTTTATTTTGAAGTAAATTGCTCTAAGAACATCATCTGCCACAGGCTTAACCGAAGAGATGTTGGCGATAATTGAATTCATGACCTTTTAATACAAGAATCATACTTCATCCACAAGTTCTATTATACGTACTCCTAAATTTTACTCCCTAATGTGACAAACATGAATTGAATGAGTATTTTCGTCATGTGAATTCACAAAAAAGTATCTATATTAAAAACTTGTTAGAGAGAATAAAAGCTAAGAATATAAAATAAGAGTTAACCAAGTATTTTCTTTTATCCACTAACCCACTTGACCAGTGACCAGGCCACCCTAGCCTTTTGAGAGAATAATGGTAAGTCTTGTATTTATTATTGAATAAAATTTTCATAGATCAACATCAAAATGGTGTGAGGTATTGTAGACATTATTATTATTATTTTTTTAGTAATTAAAATAAAACTTTAGAAATTATATTATTAATTGGTCTTAACCCATCAAAAGTAAATAAATAAATTAAGACTATAATGATTTGAGGATGCACTTGACCCCATGTATATATTTAAAATTAGATATTGTACCAACATGAGACTTTATCAAATAAAGTACTCCGGGAAGAAGAAGAAATAAAGTACTCCGTATTAAATTAAATGTGAGATTGACAACATGGACTTAGCAAACCATTATTAAAAGTTAAAACGGTACGTAAATATATAATATATGCATTACAATTACAATATCAATAATTTAACGAATTTAGCATTTTTTAAAAAAAAATTATTATGTGAGTTTTAAGTGAATATATTTTCATGTAATTGCTAGTAAAATACAATTTATGAATTTATTTTGAATTGTGATGGGATGTAATTGCTAGTAAAATACAATTTATGAATTTATTTTGAATTGTGATGGGGCTATAAGACCCTGTAGCCCACTTTATTAGATAAGTCTTGGCTCAATAGGGTGAAGAAGGAAGCTCTGAGCAAAATAATATTAGATGTGTTACCAAAAGGTTCAAACTCACAACCTCAAGCATAACAACACGAATTCTAAACCACCAAGCTACCAGCCTACCACACATCTTGTGTATTTAAGAGCAAGAAGCCCACTTATGCATGGGAGTGCCCCAGAAGCAAAGTAATAGGGGGACACGTGTGTGGTAAAAAATGAAGGTTGTCCGATGCCGTCCATTTGTCAACCATCCGTGAGTCCTTCAACAAATAAATAGGCACACTTACCCCTTTAAAAACCATCCACAACATAATTTGCTTATAGCTTGTATTATTTATCATTTGGGCCGTCATTTTGGACCCTATTCAATTGCTAAGGGCTATTGTATTTGTCAATATCTCAGACTTTGTACATACTATTTTAGGTCTAACACCCCGAATAATATAGCCCAATTATGTATATCTAAACCCAATTTATAGTAGACCCGATTTCAACAAAACCAACAAATTGTATCACATTTTTTTTGTTAGTTTATGCCAACAAAAGTAGACATAGTGCATGTACCGTATGATGAGGGCCATAGACATTAAATATGTTGGTATATGCATTTGTGTAAGAAAAAATAAAAATTCAAAATTATATATAGGTAGTGAATTCTTCTTTTGGTCATTGAAAGTAGCTTTAATTACTTATTTTGTCTCACTTTATTTATCCTATTTTCTTTTTTATTTCGTCCTCAAATAATTTTCACTTTCCTAATCTTGTGAACCCAAATTCACACATTTTAGAAGGATAAAATTAAAAACAAACAAAAAAGAAAAAAAACAAAATTCACATCGTATTTACTATATTAAAAACTGTGCTAGACATACATAACCCTTACAAAGCCGGATGGTAGAGTATATGATATATCATATACCCCCCCCCCCCCCCACCCACCCACCCAACACAACACACACAAAGATTGATTTATTCTGTGTAGTATTCTAATTAAGTTCAAATGTTGTAAATAGAATAATATACGTCAAGATATTCACGTTCCTATCCAAATGGGATATATCCACTGAAACTTCAAAGAATATGGTGTAAAAAAAAAATGCATCAATTATTATTATTATTTTTTTTTGAAAACAATGCATCAATTATTTTTTTTTTTTGAAAATAATGCATCAATTATTTAATTATGAATTAATTAAATTTTACTAGGACTATCAGGTGCAAAGTGACAACGATATATGAAAGTCTAAATTGCATTAAATGGCAAGTTGAAAGCAATTATGAATTTGAAACATTGGATTCGATCTCAAGGCAAATGCCACTATATTTCACAATATATATTTAAAACAAAACAACTAATTAATTAATTGATAAAAGATGAACCAATTTGTCATGGCTGGTGAGAGTAATTGACATTTGTGGGGTCCACTTATTGATGGATGAACTAACCTGGGATTGATAAAAATGTCTGTGTGTACATACATATGTGTGGTTCCTAAGTTTTTCTTATCCTGCCAAGATAATATAATATTATTGAGGAAATTTATTCCATTCCTTAATTAATTCCTTCTTTTATTAAGACAAGTTCCAGTTTTTGCTCCAACAAAGTTGGATATATAACAAGTCAGATTAAGACATTCTACAATACAAAATTAATTAATTACTACATTAAAAATATTAATATTCATTCTTTCAAAAGGCTGAACCCCAACCCTAAGAGCCCCCCACACCCCGACCCGACAGAGCATTTGGGAGAAAAAAAATATTAATATTCATATTATTATTATTATATGGCGTTTCACCGTAATCTTAAAAAAAAAATGACTTCATTATAAGTACCAATTAATATACTTTTAAAATTACAATCTCTTTGCACTATACACACCACCATTAATTATAACCAAATAATTACATGCATCAATCAATCTTTGAATAAGTACAAGTAATTTAGTGATATTTGTTTGTGATTCTACATAAAAGACTACATTTCGACCACCAGTCCCTTTAAATATATAAAAAATAAATAAATTAAAATTATATATACATTAATAAAGTAAGATTTAAATATCATTTTTAAAAAACATAAATGAAACTTCAATTTAATTCTTAACTGTACTTTTAAATTGGATAGAAGAATTTCTATCTATCCACTAATTTAAGTGATGATTGGTCACTCACTTGAGGTACATACCTAGACACAAAAAAAGTTGTAGAACATGTTATGTTGATACTAATTCCACTTTGTTAATGTGTCTATGGAAATAAAGTTGTCTGTACATTTTCATCTCCAAATCTTACATGTTGCATGCTAGAATCTTCTATATAGTCAGTCCAACTTTCAATCATAAAATGCATGGCCAAATACCATTACCTTTTCTCTAGAATGTATTTTTAATTATTTTTTAAATTTATTTCTGATTTTCAGGTTTAAGAATAATGCAATTAAAACTAGCCATCATTTCCTCAACTTACCTTCCTCTTCACAAAATTATTTATTTATTTATCATTTGATAACATCTAACCAAGTTGGCCGGATAATTATATATGAAAATTGTTTATTATTCTTCTTGATTTGAGCCGATCAGTTATAGACAATCTAAGTTGATTTACCTCCTTGAGATTTTATCGGTCAGGGTCACAAAGTGAATTTCACTCAGAGTGCATCTTCAGATAACGATTATGTAATTTTTCGTAAATAAAAAAATATATAATTTTTTAAGATATATATTACATATATGGTAGTCTACTAGGTGCAATTATTGCAGTGTACGCACCATGCTTTTTGTATAGTGTATTTATTATATCTTCCGACCACATTACCTATTCTATGATAATAATCATTTGACAAAAAATGTACCCCAGACGAAAATGGAATACAATTACTCATAATCTCCTATTAATTATGTTTTTTTTTAATGTATTGGATATCCCAATCTTAAATTCTCTATGCTAGTGACATTGAATAGTAAGGCACTATACTTGATTCTCTATGCTTCAGTACAACAACTTACAACATTGAATTGATTTTACCTCGTATATAGATGCTACGAAGAACTAATAGCATTGTTATTATATGCAAATATCAAAATTTCATTACAACGTTAACATTTACACAAGTCACATGGCCAGGCATAACCCCTCGGAATATGGAACTATAATTAAGTTGGTTTTATTTGCAAAGTCGTGTTGATTTTAAGTTAGTTTTCATT